TGGCCCCGAGAAAAGTTTTTTACGAGTAAATTAATATCTCAGGAATCACGGAGTCTAGGAGGCTGAAATTTTAGGGTGGTAACCCCCTGCCCACGCTCAGCCTTGCATATTCAAATTCAGCGTTCCCTCGCTGTTGAGTATCACCCACGGCCTCGTGAAAATTTTGGCGGTTAAACTATTAACTCGGGAATCACTGAATGATATTCACCCTCCAAGGTTTCGAACTCAGCTTTCATGCGCTAGTGCGTGAAGTTTTTAATTATTTTCCAATTTTTGAACTATTTTTGCATAGACAAAAGCGCAAAGCAGTGAAAATCATTAATAGACAATCGTTCGATGGACTGAATTTCACAAAACGCATGATCGCACCGCCTAGTCTGGTGCGCGTTGCTATTTATTATTATTAGCTTCGGATACTTGTGTGCATAAATAGAGATTAGTGCTTTTTTTATTGCATAACAGTCGCATAAAAGCGCCTGTTACAGGAAATCAGTGATATGAAATTGGCTCTGAATGCACGTGCACGAGTCTCTGCCGAAGAATTCCTCAAACGATTCAACTGACCACTGCTCAGCTTCCTCTCTGTGGTTGACTTGTTGAAGAATGGGATTGATTTTCGATCGTATTTTTCATTGATTTGTCAAAAGCTTTACTGTTGAACTTCTGGAAATGCATCTTTGGTGCGTTATATTTCCAGTTCTCAAATGTTACTTGTTATCCATGACAGGTATGATTGTGTATGCTGTGATATTATTAGTAGCTATATTTCATCACTACGCATATCCTCGCTACTGATACGCTTGACAGCGTTTTCATTTTCTTTTCTATTTCTGATCCACGGAATTCTCGTAACTCCGTTGAAACGTGTAGATCGGTCATTACTTATATAGGTATATGCATTATATATATACATATGTTCTTGGATCGGCTATAGTTCGTTTTCTGGTTCTCCATTTATGTAGTTGGTAACTTTTCCAGTTGCTGTTAATAGTGCTGCTTTGTCAGATAATCGACCCGTATCTCTTTTGAAATCTGTTTTTTTTTTCAAAGGAATTACCGCCTCAGCGGTTTTCTCGGTAAATATGCTTTGCGAGGCTTTGATTGTTTCGAAAACGCATCACCACCTCCTGAACGCTACCACTCCAAGACCATGATGAGGCACTTTAATGGGGAGTAATTGGCCACTGTCCCGGTTCTAATCTACAGTTTAGTGATAAGCGGTCCATAAAAAGTTTATAAAACTTTTCATACCAATTCTGTAAGAGGCTACAGGTCTTTTCAGGCCAATTCTATGCATGCAGTTCATCACAAGATTTTGTGCTGAGGCTGTAGGGTCGATGGATTTTGTGGCTTAACGGTTCAAAAATGAGGGTTTTGCGCGAATACTGTCTCTGCCACTCATTGCGCTTTGCATGTTTTAACGTTTTTGTTAAAATGTGACTGCCGTAGTTTGTTAATTTTATGCTGTGGCTATTTTCATTCACTTTTC